GTTTAGTATTAGATCCCGAAAACGCTCCTTAGTATTCGATCGCTTGGCATTTGTGAATCCAATCGAAACTAATGAGAACCCTGGATTGACGAACCCGTCCTATTAATAGGGAGGGCTCGCCTTCAAGAGTGATGAACCCCATTAAAACGGGACACCGCCCCGGATCAAAATCAACCAGGGGTTGACCTTCATCCGGGGTAGCTCGTTTGCTCAGGGGGAAGAGCAACGCAGAAATACATATCACTTGCCCCAAGCAGTCTATGCTGTCGGCCGTGGACATGAACAAAGCTTTGTTGCACCGGATAGGGTAAAGGACATGCCGCCCCAACAGAAACATGGGAGTGTTTTTATCCAGAAACCCCACAAAATTGTGGTTGTCCTGCCGGTTTCCATGAAACGCCACAACACAGGGTAGCCTCAAAACACACACCCATATGCTTCATTATGACATGATCATCCACCACAAACAACCCCCAAACATTCTCGGTGCATCAACTGGGAGGCGGTTCAACTGAATTAGGGCCTAAACAATTGGAACTTGGCCGCGTAGAGTACTTTGAAACCAACCTAAGTCATTATGGGAGTCAACCATCAACTATTTAGTCTAGTCCCGTGTATTTTGGTTTCCTGGATGATCCTCTGAAATCCAACCTGCTTGTTGAACAGACAGCTGCACGTCGTCGGACACTTTTTGCAATTTGCCTAGGTGGACTACACGTGGTGTTAGCACCTTCTTCTTTTTTACGTGGCTACCAGTCACGTGAGGCTTCTGAGGTGGAAAGAAAGGTTGGTGAATTCTCAAAGCATTGGGCTGACGTGCTTCCAGGCAAGCCACAGGTAACCCTTCGGTAGTGTACAATATTTTAACATGGCTTCTCAACTGATTGTAGCTGGAAACACGGGGGAAACAACCACAGGCCCGCCCCCTTTGAGTCGGAAAACGTTCATGGAACCTTTGGGCCAAATATTTTGTAGAAGCTTGCCGAGTGAGAGCCCCAACTTCCATTTGCTCAAGAGCGTGTGTTGTATTTTCCCTTCTTGGCTTCAAAGGGGACCCTATCAGAACCAGAAATATTGTTTTTGTTTCTTCCAGGGGCTCACCCAGAAACCTATTATGTCTATTTTTCCAGGGGAGAAAAAAAACGACGCAAAAGGAAGATCAACTTTTCGCGGCTGGTTCCCAGCCTGAAGGCCCCCGGCTTCGAGCGGCGTCTCAGTGGCGTTCGTCCGCGTTTGGAGCTGAGGCCAAGGTCACGGATCGCCTGCGGCGCCGCGTGCCGGACGTGGGGCGCTGCCACTTCGAGCTGACGCAGCTCCACGAGGAGGGCCTCGCGCACCTCAAGGCGGGGCCATACGGGGTGTGGGTGACGGCGGGGAATGAAGTTGGAAACCCAGGGTTCAAAATCTAAGTAACTTGCTGGTGCGATAGGGAATGTGGGAATGAACCTGGGGATTTCCTAAGAGGAAGCCGCAAGTTGGATGGTTTTTATTGATCTTTTTATTTGTGATTTTCTGGCCTATGGCACCAGCAACGGTCATCGTGAGTCCTTTTCAAGGGGCAAGGAGTTGGAGTTGGGCTCGGAACCGATTTGTTATAAGTTTGACTGAAAGATTGGTGTATCCCGTGGCCATGTTGGGGCTTACTACTAGGTATGGTCGACCTCCTACTCATTGCTTAGACAACCAAATGCAAGGGTTGCTCTGGGAGCCACGACCACCCAATGAGGTTCCTTGGTGCTGCTAAGGATGGTCAAAGACCCGTGAAAAAGGGAGCTGAGACAAGCGTGGTAAGAATTGCCTTAGGGGAACAAAGGTCCACGAGGGGGTTGGCCATGGTACGCATGAAGCCTACTTCCTGAGATGTGGGGCTGTCCATCTTTCGGAGATGGTCACTTCTACTGGTGTTTAAAGGGAAGCCATTGGGAAACAAATCATTGTAGGGGTCCCCTAACCTTTTGACACCACGTGAGCAGTATTTACTTGGTTGAATGGATTTGAACGCAGAGGGAAGCTGCGTGCTCATGGATGGCCTGGTTCTGGGGGGCTCATGTAATCCTCTTTGTGAAGGCTGTTGTGTTCTTCCGCGCGCACCGAGAAAAACGCTGAAAGTGGAGATGGGTTTCTTCTATACCCTTGGACAGTAGGAATGCATTTTTCCCCAACAGCTGAAAGCTTTGGGGTCTCAGCCCAGATAGGCTGCGGGGTGGTCCGGGGCGGCCCAGAGGTAAGGTTCCACGAGGGTTCCACCAGGGTTCCACCAGGGTTCCACCAGGGTCCACCAGATTCCACCAGGGTTGCACCAGGGTTCCACGAGGGTTCCACGAGGTTCTGCGAGGGCTGCGGGGTGGTGCGAGCACTAAAAAGAGCACCGCGTGCTGTTGGGGATATCACCTGAGCATATTTTTTCGGCATCAAAGATCAATGACTGAAGAATTTGTCGCGTGTGCTCATTCCTGGCATGGTCAAAAGTCCTTGGTTAGGGATGTTGTTAGGTCAATTCGACGACCATTGCACAAGCATCCTAGGAAAGGCGCCATGACTGTCATACTTTTTGGGGGTGCGGTATGGGTCAACTAGGGGGACTCCCCAAAAAATGGGTGGTTTCCGGGTGTCCTTGTGGCTTTTCCTGGGGTTTCCCCTTTGCTTTCCCTGTGGTTTCCCCTTAAACCGACCCTGAGAAAGGGGACGAGCAACCCACGGGGACCCGGTTGGGTCAAGTTTGAGGCCACGGCGTTGGCATCCACAAGCAAACCGTTCAACTTGCTGGTTCTCAGGGAATGAGGGAATGACCCTTGTAAACCATCCAACTGGTGGTTTCCTTGGGGACTTCTGGGTTCATTCCCTAATTCCCTACAGAGCACCAGCAACAAAGGGGAGGTCATCAAATAGGTTTGGGGGTTCGGGGAGGTCGGACAAACGAGCGACTTTTTGGGGGAGTTGACCCAAATGCCAAGCTTAGATTTGATTGAGTGCGTTTCCGCCACAGGCACTCCAGATAGATATGCTGAACACAGTCACCCGCAGCTTGGAATCCGAGAACAGTCTGAGGGTTTTGACTTGGATGTTCAACCACTGGGAATTGGGATGCAACAATGCTTACAGGTCAAGTAACCCCTATTCTCCCACTTGTAACCAGGGTTAGAAACCACTTACCAAGGTTGACTTCCAACAAGGTACCCTCTCAGCATGCGTGCTTTTTGTTGGTCGCTGAAGCCCCAAGAGCCCTCTCAAGGGTAAGCGGGAAGAATATGCGCACATACCGAACCAGTTTGGCGGGGTGACCCACCAGCACCGCAGGTTCCTTACTTGGGGATTCAGACTATTTCTGGTTTGAGGGACTATAGTCACAGATGTGCTTTTGATCGGTTAATTTGGTTGGAAATAGATGGGTTCCATTGTTTTTCATTGGTGTTATGCCCCATTTACTGGGGAATGCATCTGATGTTTCCAAGAGTTCACCTATGATGATAGTAAGTTGCCGCAAAGCTTGAGGCTTTCCGTCCATTTGGGTTTCGGGCCTTGTACTTGAGAAGCTCATGGTTGAGAAAGCCCCGATTGGGTGGCTCCTCATATCCCGACACCTTTCATGGGAGTTTTACTGGGTTCATGAAGCACGGGTTGGTGAATACGGCCCCTGTCCAGAAGGGCTTTGAGAAAGACATGAAATCTGAAGAGGCGGCAGCCTTTCGGTGCTTCGGAAAGAACCAACGTGCACCTTGCCTTTGCCTTTGGGCCCCTCACTATTTTGACAGTCTCCAAACGTCAACTCTGGTTGGGCAATTCACCGTTTTCACGTCCACTTGCTTGCAGTCCGCGCATTCATTTGAGCAATAGATATGGTCAGTTTGAAGGAAACCGAGCAGGTTTCTGGTTATCACAGTCAGCCAAGGTTGTTTCCTTTCAACGTTGACCACACCCCTCTCCCCAAAAGCGATGGGGGCCAGGGGGCAACACTTGCGGCCAGACCACGATTGAATTCACTCAGGTGGATAGAAATCCATGTTCTGGGGGACGCAAATCTAATCCCAGTTTGAGCGATGACAAAGGGACATCGAAGCAATTGCTTTCCCAACTGCTTTTTGGACTTGGCGTTTTCGGCATAGAAAATTAGTCGGAGGGTGCTGGTTTATTGCTTTTGTGTTTGTTCTGATCAGCCGGAAGCTCGCACGCGATTCAGGGCACACGGCCATCCCAAAAGGGGCTATATGTTTAACACCCATGTCTTCCTCCCATCCTAGTAGTCGGTTGTTCTGAAAGGTGAATCCCTGGGGTTCACACAACCCATCCCTGGGTTCAATTCCATTTGGGACAAGCATATTATAGAACTAGAGCCTTGCTCCCTTCTGAGCTCAGGATTCATGGACAAAGATGCCATGATTATTCCGCCCGAAGACGAAGACCCTTGGGAGCTACCAATTAGCCCCTGGCATCAGCCCGCAGCGCGGTGAGCTCTCAGGGTCTGCAAAAGGTTGTTTGTGTTCCATGAAAAATCGAGAGGGGTATCTAGTACCTATCCCAGTGATTCCATTTACCTCTGTAGTTTAAGGAACCAAGGAAAACTGAAATGAGAGTGGTTGCCCGCGAAAAACTGACTGGGATTCACTGGTAGCCTGTGGCGTGCTCCAAATGGCTACCAGAAGGACTGTATATCAAGCAACCCGTTCGTTCTCGTGATCCCGCGAGAAACACGGGTGTGCCGTAAAATCGGTTGGACCCCCGCAAAATCTGAATGCAATGCTCCAGGACCCGCCGGTGGCTATGAAATGGTTGCTTAAGTGACCTCCGAAGGGGGGTCATTTTTGAGGACCATCTGACAAAAATCAAGAGATCAACAAACAAGGGATCCCCAAATTTTCAAACCAACAAAACGTAACGTCTCACAACAGCTTGCACCGTGATTTATAGATGTTTGACCAGCCAAGCAGGCTCGCGCAGAGACGGCTTAGGCTGTGCCCGCGAGCCCTTGGAAAGAATTCGCTGCGGGGCTCAAGATGTGCCCTTTCGCAGGAGAAGCGATGCTTCAAAAAGAGCTCCGGACAAAGTGGACCCATGGACCGCTTCCTTGTTCTGCCTCGGGAGAAACAGGGTTTGGGGCGTCCGGCAACGCGCATGGTTCGGAAAGTGGTTGCCTTGCGCTTTTGCCACAGAGCTAGTGGGCGAGTATCAAAATCAAATTGGGCGACCCACAAAATGGCAGGGTTCCCTTTTAAGCTTCCCTGCAAAGCCACCCATGGCTTAGTTGGGCTTTTTCCCTCTCCTCCCCTCCCCCCCATGACCCCAATCTGCGTAACCCCAGCCTTAAATTCTGAGCCACACCCAACTGAGGCTGCCGAGCTTCTCAAACTTGCGAGATGCGAAGGCCAGAGCCGAGCAGCGAGCTCCACTGGCTTGCTACGCAACGGATCGTGGTTGAAGTCGCGGCCTCAAAAGCTGAAAAACGTTTTTGTTTTTGTTTTTTTTGCGCAGGGGAAGGGTTTTCCATTGAACCCCAAGTAAAAAAAAAAATGGTTGCAGAGGGGTCAACAGCAACCAAGCAAGGTGTATTGCTCAGGTGATCCGGGTTACCAGTTTCGCGGGTAACCTTTCCCCATTGGGTGGTTCGTTGTTGTAAATGGGAGACCCGGTGATCACGATCGGAAAAGGAACCGGGTGTGACTGACGAAATGCCCCATGTCAAAAACGTTTGTAATTTTGAGCGTGGCTCATGTAGAAAGCGCACAAATGCGTATGTATACTATATATATATATACATATATTCTGCGAACACACATGTAGAAACATGCATATTTTAAATATGCTCTTAGGTGTGCGTTTTACATATTTTGCGTGTAAAAAAAACAAAAAACAACAATATTGCTCTTGCATCTTGTGTGTATTGGGCTTCCTTCTTAGCGACCCCACATTTCAGCGACTGTATAGGGGGGGGGGGATTTTGCTGAAGGTAGGCCCACGTCCCCCACAAGTGCAACAGGAACACTCCTAGTAAAGATTGAACCCCTTTAGGCAATGCGGTTGCTCAGGTGGCACAACCCTGCGCACAATACATCTGCCTACTTTCTTGTGATCTCAGTTGGGGGGGTCAAGGATTTAAAAGCAAACTATCGGGAATCCATTTTGTTTTGTTCTTTGGGCTCAAAAAAGACACACTCCTGGGGAGCTTCTCACACCTTGCGTGTGGATGTCTCGTCAACCGCCCTCGTTTGGTTCCTGGAGTACATCCTTAGAAGGTAACTAGCAAGGGATCTGATCATGAGCGACCCGTTGGGCCTGAACACAAAAGAAAACACCAAACTTTTGACGAATCCCTTGCGCTGTGGCTCAGCTTGCCGTGCACGCAATCGCATTCCTGCCTGGCTCAAGACCACTGCACTCAAGAGGCTATCAGCTAAAGCTTTTCATGGCTTGCCAATGCACACAACTCGGTTGGATACCGACTAGCTAATCTGACAAACGACGAGCATGTAAACAGATACCTGAATCCTGAAGTCTTGTATTTAAGTTGTGAGGCATGTTGGAGACCTCTAAGAAATCCGCCTGCTTCGGATTTCTCAGCATGGCCTGTGTGCAGCAATCCTTCCATTCCAAGGAGCCGGGCCGAAGCTTGACGACACTTTCGATTCGGTTGACGACGCACTCGACTTCCGAGCAGCACCCCTTTGGCCTTCCCTGCAAGGAAGCTTTGTACAAAGGGGAGAAAATCCGGGTCCAGGCGTCTGCTTCAGAATCTGGGGGCCTGGGGGCCTTATGGCATCAACGAGAAACTCTTGGCATACCTGTGAGCTTTCACCTTCGTCAGCTTCGGGATTGCCCTCAAAGGGTGAAGACTCAGCTCAAACCAAAGAGCAACCACGTGTTAGAAGCTGTGACACGGCCTTCCAATAAACGTTTGAAACACTCCATCTTAGACCGCAAAAAAGTTAGCTCTTTGGTCAAAAGGGAAAGAACGCCCCAAAGAACACGCAACACACAAAGGCAACAGAACTCTCGCAACGAAAAAAGGGACTTCCCAAATACAAAGGGTTTTCAGAGCTTCCCCTAAAAAAGCTAAACCCATCTAGGAAAAATTAGTCAGGTTATGTGGGGGGTTGATCATCATTCCCTTCGGCCCCAAATGACCATGGGTAACTGTTCCCATTTAGTGGTTGAAATATCAGACCTTTTTTGTTGGTTTCCCCAATGATCATCCCATGTATCACGGACCTTTTGATCAATAAATAATGTGGATCGGCTTTCTGATCAGACACTGCTTTGGTCTTTGGTCTCCGCGGTGGCTCTGTTGACTTCACGAACAGGAAGGTCAAACAGCTCACCCGGCAACTCCCATCGATCATGTCGGCTTGCGATTCCCTGGACATCCAGAAATCGTGCCCCCCCCCCCCCCTCCGCCACGGACATATCCGCATGGGTCAACAGTAGTACAGTTTTTGTTTGGTGTGCGTTTTTGTGTGTTTTGCTTGTTGTGTGGTTTGTGTGTTTTGTTCGGTGTGTGTGTTTTTTGGTGGGTTCTCGTTTTGTTTTCTATTTCATTTTTTTGTTCGGAGGAAGCGTGGGCCTGGCCGAGCAAGGCATCAAGGCGTGACCAAAAAGCATGGGCCCAGAACTGAGCAGGATTCGCTGCGTCAGATGGGGGGCTTCTCAGAATGGTGGACCCTCTTGTTAAAGGGAAGCAAAATAAATGAAACTTTCAACATGTTAGGGTACTCCTATTTTGAGAACCCCCCTTATGAATCATATCAGTTGTGGCATCGCAGAAATTGATGCTAGACATTTTGCGGCATTCTACTTGATGCAGCGGCAATAATGTCCTGGGTTTGTTTCCTGGGACACCCTTTGTTTAGCCACGTCAGGGGCTAAACAATTACGAGCCTGATTAACCTACGCCCAGGACGAAACCAAAGACAGTGTCGGTATTGGGTGATGTGCGAAGAGGAACCGGGGCTTCTCTCCATGTGTTTTTTTGTGTTTGTTGGACATGAAACACATCTGAAGACATGTTTCGCCGTACCGCCCAAGTTAGGCCCTCTAAAGGACACCTCTAAATAGGATCGGAGTCCAGGAAACCGGGCGATCAAGGACAGCGGCCGGCTGCCTTGGTGTAATTGGCGCGTCCAGGTGAAGCTGTGGCTCCAAAACATGTGCCAACATGGCACCTTGGTAAATGGAAAGGACGAAAACCTGCGTAATCCTAGCTCTTTAATTTTGAGCCACACCCAGGTGAGGAAGCTGTTGCCATATAAATATATCTTTCTTATCATGTTGTCCTCTACTAGTCTCCCCCCAAACTGAAGCCATTTTCAGATGGGTGCAGTTGGATATGCAACCACGTAGTTAACCATCACAGGGTATACGCCCCATCTTTTACAGGGTGCCCATAGCCTCGGTTTGGCTTGCCTTTATCACTAAATTTCACTGAATTTATATCGTCTGGCATTCAATGGACCTCTTGAGCTGGGGAACAGCTGTGTACTCCCCAGAACACGGACAATGAAATGTTTTGAGTCTGCTGGCGTTGCTTAGCGCCTTTTGGGGATTGGAGCCCTTAGGGTTCATCTGGGAACTGTGTCCCCACACCATGGATCCCAAACCCAGAAAGCCGAAAAAACAAACAAAACAAAAAACGTGCGCGGCGCCTTTTTTAGCAAGCAAGCAAGCTGCAAGTAGCAAACACAGAAACGGCCGCTGCCAGGCCTGCGGAATTCGGCGGGTTGCGAATGCAGCGCCGGGATGTGGGTTCCTCAGACCTGTCGGAACGCGTGTCACAAGAGCTGTGGTACGCCACAAGGTGTTTGTCTACTCCACTGGGTGCAAAGCTCCGGTTACTTGCGGGTACTAGATACGATCAACCCTTTCATGGGGAAATTCAAAAAACACATATACGCAAAACCGTTTCAATCAAGTCGAATTGGACCCTTGTTCATTCTGTTCGGAGCTCAACGTGAAGCAAGCCTTTTGGTGAGGCAGCGTGGTGAACTTGAAATGGACATCAGCAGGAAACCCGCAACTAGAAGAGTTCCATCGGTTTTGAACAGCTGAGTTGAAAATCACAAACCATGCTAGAATGTGGGGGTAAAGGGCAAAACGAGCTTAGCATGATGAATTTCCTTTCTTGAGGATTCCTAGTTTCAGGTTTAGAATCATTATCAAGAAATTTGCAAATAGTCATAATTGTTCGGTAATCATTGGGATGGGTATTTTTATTTTTTTCCATTTTGTCCAGACAGTCTATTGAATTCGACCTTTGGTATTATTCGAACCCTGAATGTGCTTTGTTGTTGCGGGTGATATGGAATGATGAGCTTTCATGTTCTTCCCAGACATGTCAATGTTTTCATTGCAACTCGTGCAGCCAAGAACAACAAGAGCTGAATCCAGTTCATGGATGTGCAGTTTAGCGGTCCTTACAGGTTTGCGAACTGGAAACGTATGATGGGTGTTGACCACATGGTGCAGCAACATGGGACCAACTGCCAAAAGAACGATGAGAAGTGTGTCAAGCAGA